GGTGGCACGTCCCTGCCACGGTGGAGGGGAATGCCTGCACAGTGCCAGCCCTGACTGTCTGCCCTGCTCTCAGCCACTCATGCCAGTGGTCCCACGTCTGCCCTGTGCTGGACCGCAGGCCCTCGGGACAGAGGTTCTCAGCTGCTGCGGGGTCACAGAGCACTTTGACAATCCGATAAACTGCTCTGCACAGAAATGCCCGTAAGCACATGTGTGCTGTTTCCTACGCAATTTCTGAGAGTTTGGGGGACCCCCTCATCAATAGCTCTGTATGGATCCCTTGCCCTGGACGTGAGTCATGTCTGTTGAGTCCCTGCGGCCTCGTGCAGTGCCAGGCTCATAAGGAGGCCTCCTGGCATGAAAAGCATGTAATAGCGTCACAATTTCTGTGAAAACTGTCAGGCTTCCCACATTGACGTCAGCTCTGTAGCTGGACACAAAGCATTTGGTTTCCTGGTGGCGGTCAGGGCTTGTGTCCAATTTACACCAGCCCAGTCCTCACAACCACCTTCTGCGGGTGAGGGGACGAGCCCAGAGATGCTATGCTGCCTGCCTGCGGGGCCAGCTGCCATTCGAACCTGGGTGCCTCTTCAGTGGCCCTTCAGTACCATGTGGCGTCACCTCTGGCCCCTGGGGTGCATGTCCACCCTCCCCTGTGGTCACTTGTTCTCTGCAGCAGGGTCTGGTCCTGCCCTTGGCCTTCCACAGTTCTAGTGCCTAACAGTTCAGATCCGTCTGGCACTTTTGGCCAGTGTGCTCTGGGTGCCAGTGGGCAGGCCTGTGGGGTAGGGAGGGAAGGGAGGCAGAGGACAGAGGGCAGACGGCCACCAGCCAGCCCTCTGCCCACCCCAGCGGCAGTATTTAGTCAGCATGTGGTGACACAGGCAGGCTGCTGGGGCTGCCAGATCGCAGGCGCCGTGTAGGAAGATGTGGAGAGGTGGATTTAATCATCAGTGCTAGAAACGAGTTTAGGCCGATTAACAAGACGAGTGTTTACTCCTGTTCCAGGGAGCTGACTGTCACAGGGTCCCTGCAGCCTGCCTTACCTCTGCCTGGGGTCACTGAGCATTTCTCTCTCTCTCGGTCTTCCTTTGAGACCCCGTACTGCTGAGGCAAGTGAGGCCGACAGCGGACACACCCCTCCACCTGCCCTGGACCGGAAAGCCAGCCCCGGGCGCGGCGGGGATTGGAGATGACGGGCTCCTGCCGGGCTGCGGGGCCGTGGGGGCCGGGGGAGAGGCCGCCCTGGCAGGGATGGCTGGTGTGCTTTCTTTTCTTTCTGCTCTTTAACCAGATGTCAACAGAGGAGAAATAACGGGCAGCTGAGCTTGGCAGGTGTTATTTAAGGGCAGAGTGAAGCAAGTCCTTCTTCTTGGCAGGAAAGTCATGAAAAGAGCGTTTCCCAGGCCCTGGAGCTCACCTCTTAAGCATCAAAGCCGTTTCTTTTGAGGTGAACCATTTTCAGGACTTGGCACATTTAACTCTTCTCGATGAATCAGGGTCCCGCCAGCCAACGAGGTGAGTTTCCAGAATCTCAGCTCTACACTTTGGCGTTTGAACACTCTTCCTCCAGTTTCGAGAGGAGGAGGTGTTTCTCATGTTGGGATGAATTTCTCGCCTGTGGGTGCCTCCTGGTTCCGGGGGCAAGAGTGAAGGCATTGGCCCGAGTCCCTTTTGGTCAGAGGTGGTTTGGGTGTGGTCTGTCTGGGCACAGGGACTGAGTGCCTGCCACCCCAGCTGAGCTGTGATCCTGGCGTGACAGCAGCCTGGGGCGGGTGCTGTGTCTGGAGTGTGGTCACGTGGGACCAAGACCTCGGTGTTCTCCCTTCAGGTCCTCCTGGTCTGGGAGAGTTGCCGGGGAAGCAGGCGGAGCCTCAGCCTCACCTCTCCCGCCCCCAGGCCGGCCCCTGGAGCCCTGGCCCCCACTGGCTTGGCCCAGCACCCCCTGCTTCTCTGCCATCTTGAATTTCACCCGTCTGGACGCCACCGGAGCCCTGGATCCGTGGCATCCTGGGAGGGGAGGAGGGAAAGGAAAGCCTTTCCCAGGAAGCAGCCCGCCCCTCCGGAGGCCTCCATGGCTGAGGCCCTGGGCTCCTGGTGTCATGCTTGGTTTTTTCCTCCTCTGGAGCGCACCACGGGGCGGCTGGGACACCCCCAGCTGAAGCCACAGCCGCCACTGTTCTGTGGCGTCTGCTCGTGCTGCTGAGCTGTCCCTGCTCCTCCCCTCTCCCCACATGCACACCAGTGTGGGGTCTCCCCACGTCCCCTCCCACCCTCGCACTTCCCGCCGGGGCCAGATGTGGACACAGTCCAGGTCTCTGTAATGATGTCTGGTGGCGGGTCAGTGGGTGGATACAGCCCCAGATCTTGTCTGTGTGCATGTCTGCACATGTGTGCACCTGTGTGTGTGCATGTGCCAGTCCACCTCTGTGTGCCCAAGCATGTGTCTGTATGCGTGTGTCTGTGTGCCTGCATGTGGGGTTTGTCCTGCCTTCCTGCTCTGGGTGCTAAGCAGTGTCTTGGCTCTGGTCAGCTAGGCTACCCTGATGTGCCTGGTCCCCAAGCCCGTCCATTCCTGGCAGGAATTTGGCCACAAGTAAGAGCACCCAAGCCTTCATGTATAGGTTTCTTTCCAAGAGTGGAGGGGACACTCGTGAATGAACAGAAATCCAGAAGCAGCTGTGTCCTTGGGGATTGTCCTCCAGGGAGTGGCCGCGGCCACATGCTCGCGGCAGCAGCACACACAGAGGAGGGCCGGCCCGCTGAGCCCCTCCCACGGAGCTGGCCCGGGGCTGCCCTCCGTCGCCTGCGTCGTCTGTCTCGTCTGTCTCAGACGGATTCTTACTTTCTGTCTAGTGTGCGGTCCAGCATTCCTGTGTGGAGCTAAGGAAACCACAGTGAGCCGGGCCTCTAGGGGCTGGACTAGTGTTCAGAGTGGGTTCGTCCTCCTGTCCCCTCACTCTGCGGCCCCACGGTGGGCAGGGCCTGGGGTTTGTGTGCTTGCTGGAGGGCCGTGGCTGCAGGGCCCCCGGGGACACTGAAGACGTTGACACCCCACGTTTCTGGGGATGTCTGTGTGTCGGACAGTGCTGGCTGTGGACCAGGAGTACGTGTGCTCGGACATTGGGTCCAGCTTAAGGAGGCTGAGACAGGTGACAGGGCCCTAAGCCCTGCAGGACAGACCTGAAACTCCCTGCTTGTCTGAGGTCAGGCTTGCATTTCCCCTTAAACCGAGTGACCGGATCCTGGGCTGACGGCTGGCCCGAGGCTGAAGCCCCTGGGCTGCCAGCCTGCTCCCTGCGGTCCTGTGACCTAACCCTTTCTTAATCTTGTTTTCCGCCCTGTGAGGGAAGAAATCCTGTTCCTGGAAGCTGCCTGGAGAAAAGCCCTGTCTTAAGGTCAGGGAGCAGGGGCGACAGGGATGTGAGCAGACCGGGTCCGCAGCTGGAGGCGCAGGCTCTGGGACTGGGGGCCGTGTCTCAGAGGCCCAGGCACCTGCTGACCCGCCTCCCCGACTCCAGCCCGGACGCCCGCCAGCGTCACTGCTGAGAGACTCGGAGTGAGGAACAGAACAGCCTGTCCTGTCGGGGCCCCGGGCTGTCGTCTCGCAGGAAACCCTGACCGGGCCCTGGCAGGTGAGGAGCCTTCCTGTTTGCCCCGCGATTAGTCACACTGACTGCGCGCCAAGATGCGAGTCTGCCCCGACGTTAATCCCCAGCCCGGATTAAGATGGCAGGCCCCAGGCTGGCACAACCGGCCGCAGGACCCTTCTTCCTCCCCGGTTACCGGCCACCCTGCCCTACTTGGCACAGACTTCCTCTTTTCCAGGTCCTTCTGGAACATTCTGATCTGGGCCTCTCCCTGCCCTGCTCAGGAGGGGCAGCCTTTGTCAGAGGGAGGCTCTGCTCCTGGGCTCCTCCCAGGGGCCGCTGCTCCTGCGCTTCCTTGTCCAGAGCAGATGGCACCGACGGTGCGGCCTGGGCCCTCGGCTGGGTGAAGGGGCCACGCGCATGCTTCGGGGTTCCTAGGACTAACAGATGTGCACGCAGGCCAAAGTTCAGCTGGGTTCTTTCTTTACAAACAGGCAGGTGAATCTTTCGGGGGAGGGGTCAATTAAATCACCTACTGCAACATCTCCAGACAAGCTCTGCACGAAGCGGCGGACATTTCTTGTGGCTCCAGGCCTGCGGCTGCCAGGCCAGAGCTCCCAGCGGGCGGCCCAGCCATCCCAGGGCCAGGGCCTGCCCCACAGCAGGGAGAGTGGGGCGCTGGGCTGGTACTCACTGCGGAAGAGGGGAGCACCTCCCACAGTAACTGGCTTCCACGCGTGCCCCGCTGCCCATGGTTTGACAATTTTTCATTCTTAGGAAAGTCACTCAGCTTGGAGCAGGGTGACAGAAAGGTGGGAGCACGTAGGAAAGCTGATGTTACAGGTTCTAGTCCAGATTAGTGTTCGCTTCTGCCGTTGGGACACATTGCATGTTTTTTGCCCTATTTTTCATTTTTTTCCTGAGAGCATTTGGTTTGAACTCCTGTTAAAATCTATCTGTGCTTCTCTGCACACCCCAGGCACACGGGAGCTGGAGATGGGACTTTGGCCAGGGACCCAGGTGGTCCCCAGACAGTGCATATAGGAGACAGTGATGCTGTTGGGATGAGCCTGTCCCCTGGGAGACTGGACGGGCATCCTGGCCCCGCAGCCCCACAGCCTGACCACCTCTGAGATGGGTGGCCCCTCCTGAGACAGGCTGGGACCCGGGACTCGGGACCGTAGGCTGCAGTGCCGTCTCCTCCAGCAGCGGAACACAAACTATAAGGGACTGAAAACAACTGCAGGCATGTGCCGTTGGGGCAAATTATACACAATAAGATCCGAAGAGGCCAGAAACCAGCTGCCACTCCTGAGGTGCTGGGAGCAAAAGCAGGGCACTGGGCATGGTCCCCACACTCGGCACCACAGAGGGGGCGGCAGGCCCCTGGACCTGCCCCCAACCCCGTTGTGGAGATCAGCTCTCCCCCTCAGGATGCAGGCATGATCCCCAGTGAAGCCTTGCCTGGAATTCTCGTCTGGCCTCTAGTCAATTTCTTTGGTTTAAGCGTCCAAGGGCCTGGGTCGGTATCATCCCCATTTGCTCGGTGCGGTCACTCACACTAGGAATGCGGCGGGACAGCGGGTGCACAGCCGGGAAGCCATTCTCAGACCCGCTGTCTGCGTCCCCTCCTCCCTGGGGGCCCCCCAAATGCTGGGCATCCTCGCATGTAATAACTCGACATCAGGCCTCTGCTCTGGCCCTGGGCGAGGCCCTGCGACTGGGGTCGAGTCAGGGTCAGACCCTGGGTCAATCATCAGACGTCCTCCAGGAGCTCAGCACATCACCACACGCCAGGGCCTCCTCTTAGCCGTGTCCTGGGAGCCTCCCCAGACCTTCTGGGCGAAAACTGGAGTTGTCAGTTACCCTTCTACAGGTGAGGAAACCGAGGTTTTGAGAGGTCAGGTGCCGTGTCCGGGCTTACATTTCTGAGAAGAGTGGGATTGGGTGTACCGTTGGATGGCGGCTCCCTGGCGTAAGAGGAGGAACTGGGGGTTCTGAAGGAGCGCAGACGCGAGGCTGCCTGAGCTGGACGCCAGGACGCACAGCTTTGCAGAGGAGGCGGAGGGCGGGGTCATGTGGGAAGTGTGGATTCTGGGCGGGGGTGGGGGGTAGGATGGGGTCCCCCAGGGTGTTGTTTGGAAGGAAGTGGGAGCTGCAGGGTGACCCCAAGGCCTTAGCAGGCCAGCCGGGGCCCAGCATGACCACAAAGTTTTTGTGTCTTGTCTCCCCATCGGGCTGTAGTCTTTGGGTCCCAGCGTCTGGACAGAGTAATCATCGCATCCAGTAAACGGTGCTGGATTCCAGTGAAGGCCACTTACCCTCAGATGGAAAGTTCTGGAGGGAGGCCACCCAGAGGGAAGTCGGGGAAACGAGGATGTGTACATGGGGCTCAGTGTCTGGGCTCCTCCTGCCGGGGCCCGGCTTTCCTCCTGCCTTTTAGAGTGTCCGAGGTTGCTGTAGGCGGGGGGCCAGCAGCTGCTCGGGTGAGACTCAATTGTGGGGCCAATTATCAGGCCTGAGGGGTGGCCGTGCGGTGGGGTGGCTCACGCCACAGAAGAATGGCCGTGTCGCTCCTGGGGGGCAGGCCAGGAAAAGGAGGTCGCCTGCCACAGAGTACTCTCCAGAAATCAAAGGCTGCCCAGGACTGGCTCCCCCACCCTGTGCCTCTCTGGTGGCCCGAACCCTCTGACAGGGTCCGCATGGCAGGGGTGACAGGGGCAGGCGTACGAGGGTGTTCTTTCTTGGGAAAAATCTCCTTGGCGCACTCTTCCTGCCGATACAGCTGGGTGAGAAGGGACCCGCAGCCTGGCCCGGGCGCTGTGTGGGCGTCCAGCCAGGGGTGGACACGGGCTTTGGCCCTCAGGCCTTCCAGAGCCAGTGAGCAGAGCGTGCTGGTGTGCAGGTCAGTGCTCCGGGAGGAGGGGGGCGCTGTCTGAGCGCGAGCCCCGAGGCAGGCCTGCTCCCCGGCGGCAGCATGCTCCCGCCTCGCACTGCCCGCCAGCAGTCTCTCCCTGAACTCTGCCTTTCCTGGAGACTGGCCCCCAACCCCATCCCGGACACCAGCGTCAGCGAGGCCTGCTCTTCCTAGAAGTCTGGTTACTAGAATCTGACTGCAGGTGCTCCCTGGGGAAATGTGTCTCATAACCATCACTTGGTCTCGGCGCCTGGTTTCACCTCTGGGACGACAGACCCATCTGAGCTGGCGCCGAAGGGCTGTTGCAACATTTCAGGGCCCGCGCCTGACCCCTCTCCTCGTGTCCCTGATTCAGAGCTGCCCGGCCGTGCAGGCCAGGGATGGGCCTCTGAGCTGGAGGAGGCTGACGGAGAGGCCCCACGGCTGCTTGGTTGTGCTCGAGGCCTGAGGCCTGGGCGGTCTGAAAGGGGCTGGGGAGGAGCGTGGTGGGGAGCAGAGTCCTGGGTGGGCTGAGGGCCCTGCTCCCAGGCTCTGGCTCTGGTTCTGGGGGAGGTATCTGGTGCTGAGCAGGGTGTGTGTGCGCATGCGTGTGTGAACTGGAAGCCCACGGAAGGTCCAGTTCCAGCTTGGAGGGGCCCCCCTCGGAGCCCTCTCTGAATGTGGCTCCAGCTGTCCAGTGGGACTTGGGGCCCTGTCCCCCACCCCTTGGACTGCTGTCACCACCAGCCTCCTACCTTTTGCAGGTTTTCCGTCCAAACCCCAACTGAACCCTCCTCCAGGAAGCACACAGGTGGACGGTTGTCTGGGGGATGAGGGGGTGTTCCTAGTTTTGCTGGGAAACGAGGCGGGACGCTGCCCCGAGAGGCTTGTGCGGGAGCCGTGTAGCCCACGCTCGGCCGCGCCGGGGGCTTTGAAAGCCGCCCTGGTGGGGCCAGCGCGGCCGGGTGCCGGGGGGCCTTCGGGGGCTTCGCTCCCACAGAGGGTGTTGGGGTGGGAAGAAGAGAAGGAGGCTTGAGCAGGCTGCCGGCCCCCTTGGGTGGGTCCCCACCAGCTGCCCACATGCTCCGCGGGGCCGGGCACTCCCCAAGCTTGGGCAGCCTGGCAGGGCAGCGGGTTCAAGCACTGGACACAGCAGCCCTGTGGAGCCAGCAGTGTTGAATCGCTGTGCCCCAGTGCGCCTGCTGAGGGGTGCCGGGAGGGGGACATCAGTCAGAGGCACGGTTGCCACTGCGATGCTCAGTGTAGGACCTGGGAGCCCCCCTTCCCTTTTCCTGTGTCCACGCTCCAGAGGCCTCTCCCCTGGGCATGTCGACGGCCGTCTGCACCGTGTCCTCGCGTGATTGTCCCAGGGCATATCTGTGTCCTGATCTTCTCTTAATAAGGACACCGGTTCTGTGGGATTAGGGCCCACCCTCGTCACCTCATTTAACCTTAGTCTCCTCTGCGAAGATGCCGTCTCCAACACAGGCACGTTCCGACCTGCTGGGGGCCAGGACTCCAGCGTAGGAGCCCGGGGGACACGACAGAGCCCGTTTCAGACCCGGGAGCTCTGGACACCGCCTGACCTGTAACACCGTGTTCTTGTTTTGTTTTTCTGTTTCTCTCTCTCACGTTTCCTGGAGGTACAGCTGTTATCAGCCAGGTTCCCGGGTGGGGAGACTGAAGCTCAGGGCCTTGAAGAGATGTGTCCAGAGACCGTGCTGGTCTTGTGGGGACAGAGTGTGGGCGCCAAGTTAGCGCTAGTGCTCGCCCAGCCTAGCGCCCAAAGGTTGCCCCTCTCCCTGGTCACCGCCTCGGCCTCTGTGGCAGAGGGGCAGAGGGGCCGCCGGCGGTGAGTGGCGGGGTCACACGTTCTGCCAGCTCCTGGCCTCTCTCCCTGGAAGGTTCTGGGACTGAGGGAAGGACACTGGGGGAGCTGTCCTCTGAGGCCTTGGCCTGCCCAGGAGGCGAGGGAAGACTGTGGCTGGGGACACTGGTGGGGGGCTGGGGCTTGCCCAGGGTTGAGGTCAGTCGTGAGCCCCCCTTGGAGGCTGGTTGCCCTCTGAGCTCCTTGCCCGTTCTGGGAACACAGGAGGTGGGGGGCCAGCCATGCTTCCTAAGGAAGTTTCTTAAGGAAACGCACTGGGCCCCAGGGAGCCCAGATCTGATGCTGGAACCAAACCTGGGAGGCCAGGCTGCAGCCTGTACAGCAGGGGACAGTGGGGAGGGATGGGGTCTGGGGTGGACAGTGTGCCAGTTGTGCCCTCCGCCACCACCATCCCAGAGCGCAGCCCAGGGCCAGCTTCCGTCTACTCCAGCCCAGGGGAGATGCAGGGGCCTTCCAGAAGACGTCAGCCCACAAAACTTTGTTGATCTGTTGGTCTCAAAAGGATCAGATTCAGATTCCGGCCTGGCCTTGGATCAATAGCCAGTCCCCACGCAGGAAGGCTGGGTGGGGTCAGAACGGGGACTCTGGCTGGGACCTGGGGCGGGACCGCAGCCCAGTGGGCCTGTCTTCCACAGTGAGATCTGGCCAAGCTGCATCCTGAGTCTGGCTCCCGGGGCCCTGGGGCAGCAAGAAGGGGGCCGCACCCCAAGGCTTCTCGCCCAGGAGGGCGGTGTGGGTGCTGATGGCCCTGAGCACCATGCCCTGTGGGGCCGGATGGGGCGTGCTGAGACCTCAGGGTCCTTCCCAACTGTCTGGGGGACCCCAGGGCTGGGCGAGGGGAGCCTGGCAGCTGCGGGTTTCCGCCTGCCTGCGGCCTAGACAGGAGAGAACTAGATTCGGTGAGAGTTGGGGTCTGAGGACACAGTGCAGTCTGTGCAGGAGGGGGAGCCGGGTCGGGGGAGCCCCCCTGCCCCGTGTGGCAGCCATGCCAGGCAGGACTCCTGACTTTCCTTCTCCGCAGGCCTCACTTTCCAGCAAGCCGCCCTGCCTCAGCTGCCTCCTTCTCACCCCTCATCCTTTCACTGCCCTGCACCCTGGTGGATGCTGGGGACCTGGCGGGACACAGCAGACTGGGATGAGGATGGAGATAGCAAGTAGATGGCTCACTCCATAAGACCCTGCTGCCCAGGAGAGGCTCTGAAGGGCACAGGCAGGCAGTCAGGTGGGGTGCCAGCAGGACAGGCAGGCGTAACAAGTGCAAAGGCCCTGAGGCAGCAGAGAACCAGGTGCCTGGGGACATACTGGGAGCTAGTAGGGCTGGAGGGGACTCCGGGACGGTGCAGGTTTGGAGCACTGCTGCCCCATCTCTCAGTAAGCAGGTGGTCAGTGAGGGAAAGGCCAGTGACTTTCCCAGGCTCTGGATTAGCCTTGGTGGTCGAGGAGTGTGACCAGTGGCCTGTGCAGGTGGCTATTCTCTGATTGGAAAACCAGTCCAGGAACACGCAGACCTGCCTTCCTCCTTCCCCAGGAGTGGGAGGGTGGGGCCAGGCTCTCACTCGGGCCTCCAGCCATCTGAGCTGGGAGCTCCCAGCTGGGAGTTATAAATGGACAGGAGCGGTTGTTGCCACAGTGACCAGAGCAGCTGCTCCTGGGCAGCCCTGTTCGGTGCCCAGAAGCCCCTGCAGCCCCCGCCTGCCCTCCTCAGCCTTTTAAGGGCGTTTCTGAGACCGCACCTCATCTCCCTGCTGCACTGGCTGAAATGTGCCCTCAGGGCGGCAGGAAGCTCTTCAAGCTGGGCGGGACCCCCGCCACCCCTTGGATTTGGATGGGGAGGGGGCATAGGACACGACCCCGAGTGTCAGGGTTTGGCTGCAGAAGTAAAAACGCTTGTGGAGAAGACAGCTTCTGGGGGAGTGGGGCGTCTCTGGAGCCCTGGTGGGTGGGGGTCAGGGCCGTGACCTCCTTAGATTCAGGGCATTCCAGCTCCCCTCCCCCCTCCCCCGGCCCATTACTCTCAAAGCCAGCAGCACCTGTCCCTGCAGGAGCCCTAAGGCAGGAGGGGGGCTTGCCAGGACCACCCAGGGTTTGTGGGTGAGGCTGGGTTCTCAGGAGGCCTGGACCTGAGGCCCCTCCTCGTCCCAAGGCTCCCTTGTGGCCCCGTCACGAGGGTGGTGAGTGCAGCAAGCTTAACACGAGGTTGTTGTGCAGGAATAGACGATGCTCTACTTATGAGCAACAAGCAATTCAAAACTAAATGAAAAATACCACCAAATACGTGAACTCGTTAGGGATATGGCTTACAAAACAAGGTGCACGTCCTGACTGAAAATTACCAAGTACTGCCAAAGGAAGTTAACATGAAGTAAAAGTGGAGAGAGGGACTGTGTTCATGCACTGAAAGATGCCGTAATGTTAAAATGTCAGTTCTCCCAAGTTGATGGACTCCTTCAGAGCGATCCCAGTCCAGGTCCCCTCAGGCTCTTGGCTGATGCTGATTCCCAGTTTCCAAGGGAGATGTAGAGGACTTAGAAAGCCGGCATAAATCCGATAAAGAACACATTTGGAGGACATAGAGAGCCTAGTTTCAAGATTTACTGCAAAGTGACCACAATCAGGACAGTGTGGTGTTGACATCGGGATGGGCAAATACATGAATGGAACAGAATGGATGGTCCACACATATATGGACAATTTTCAACAAGGGACAGACAGTTCAGTAAAGAGAAGGCAGTCTTTTCAGCAAATGGCGCAGCATAACAGGTATCCGTGAGCACCGAAATGGGACTTGGATCCATCCGTCTCACCATATACTAAACATTGACTCAAAATCATAGACCCAAGGATATAATCTAAAAATAAAATTTCTGGAAGAAAACATAGGAGAAATTCTTTGTAACCTTGAGTTAGGAGAAGATTTCTTAGATAGAACCCAGAATGAGTCATAAAAGAAAACGGGTAAGTTGGACTTCATGAACATGAGGAACTTTGCTCTCCCAAAGGCCCTGTTATGAGTTGGGAAGATGAGCTGCAGCCTGCGGGAAGCTTTGCAGAGCGTGTGTCCAGTAAAGAATTTGAATCCAGAACTCCCTGAACCCCCCAGTAGGAAAACAACCCAACTTGACAAACAGGCAGAAAACGTGAGTGTGCGTTTCCCCAAGACTCGCGACGGCAAATACACAAGTTCAGCGTCACTGGTCATCAGGGAAATCCAGGTTAAAACCCCAACCAGAGGCCACTGTGCTCTAATTAGGAAGTCTAGAATTTGAAAGAGGGAACATCCCAAGGGCCGGAGGCTGGGGATGAATGGGAACTCTCATTCCTTGCTGGGGAGAGTATGACTGGGTGCCACCACTTTAGAAAACAGTCTGGAAGTTTCTTCAAA